ATTTTTATTCATAGTAAAATATTTTTGTCCTTTTAAAATGAGTAAATTTTGGTTTTGATCCTTGTAAAATACTTTTTCTTTAATTTTCATTCCCCTAAAATCTAAAATCTAAAATTACTATTTTTGGTCAAAGATTTCAAGTTATATATCTTTAAAAAAAAATTAGAGATATCACACACTAGCATGATATCACTAACAATCATAAGTAATACCCTAAGAAAGCCACATAACATCTTAATGCATAAAAAAGTTGTTAAAAATAATACATAATAATAGAGATTAAAATAATAGTTTTAAATTTTAGAAGAGATAAAAAATAATAATTTATTTTACAAAGATTAAAATAAAAACTTTTTCATTTTGAATGGACTAAAAACATATTTTAGTTTTTATGAATATTATATATATATATATATATATATATATTTTGTGAATCCCATACTTGCCTAGATATCTTCTTACGGTCAAAGTGGGGTCCCAACCTATTATGCGGAGGAGCATTGTGGGGCAAATAATATTAATTTTAGAGGCTCCAGATGGATGATTGGAAATAGTAGAAAAAAACAAAACGTACTAAGAAAAAAGAAGACAAATATCTGAGAACCGGTGGCTCCAGCTCCAGCTAATCCATGTTTTAAGGTTTGTCGTTGCTTACAAGCTTACGGTCAGAGTCGGTAGATTTTTTTAAAAGATGTTTAAATATCTGATAAGAATAAAATAAAATATATGATTGCAACTACCGTATCATGCCATGATTGTAATTTCTATATTTATCTTAACATGACAACAATGCATATCAATTTGATATCTGTTAGTGGACAAAATTAGGATACCAACCATATTAGTTGGCGTAATTCTAGCTTAGGATTTTTTCATGTTTCATGTATATATTAGCATATCGTGATCAATATACGGCAGCAGTTTCGAATAGATTTTGGCATGGTATCAGAGCCTAACCTAGCTCTGATATCCAACAGCCCGAGAACGCAATTGGACTGCTGAAATGGCAGAAGAGAAGATTGAAACCATGGCAGTGAAGAAAATGCCATCGCCCTACGATCTGAGTGCTAGTGATAATCCCGGAAACGTGATTACATAAGTACATCTAAAAGGAGAAAACTATGAGGAATGGGCCAGGGCGGTGAAGATCTCTTTGCGGGCTCGAAGAAAATGGGGTTTCATTGATGGAACTCACGAGGAACCTGAAAAAGACACATCCGAGATGGAAGATTGGTGGACAATTCAATCGATGCTTGTGTCTTGGATACTAAACACCATAGAACCCAGTTTGCGTTCCACTGTTGCCTACATGGAAAATGCAAAAGACCTGTGGGATGACATCAAGGAACGATTCTCGATCGTTAACAGACCAAGAATCTAGCAGCTAAAGTCAGAATTGGCAGAATGCAAACAACAATATTGCAAACAAATACAACATAACCTTTACCTTTTGACATACATCATTCTATCAGCCACAACAGAAAACAATCCTCATCATCATCCCCTATATATTATTCAAGCAAATTAAACTGATACCTCCTGTAGTTTCTTGAAATTGCACACTACATACCCCTATCTTTTTAAAGTTTACATTTTACAATAACGCCTCTAACACAGGTGCACAATATAATGGCTGTAACAGGGGATGTTAGTATAATGTATTTCAAACAGTTAAAAAGGAAGGATATTGTATTCAATCTCAAGAAACTATATGCCAATTTTCATTTTTACATGTCTGTGTATAACTGAAACCCCTTTCTCTCCTCAAAAAAAAAAAGAAAAAAGAACTGTAACAAGTCTGAGTAAGTATACCAGCTGTATCCCAAAGGCCTAAATTGACAGTTGTGCCTTCAACAACCACATTGGCACTGAAATTATCAAACACAGTGGGAATATAGTCCTGATGATCAACATAGGGGGAAAGCAAAATCAGAGAAACCCAATTGTGCAATTTTACAAAGTAACTTTCTGCACTCAACACCCACATATAAAATAATTTGCTTTTGCCAAATTAAGATGATTTCAACATAACCGAGCACAATTCAGGATGCACATACATACGTACAAACACAGTGAACAATTACAATTACAAAATAACTAGTGATAAAAATAAATTGTACAAAAAGGCAAAGACAAAAAAAAATCGATCTTTGGAAAAGCATCCATACTGTGGGGAATTTGTTGCTGGTGTAGCAAATGAGCATGCAGGTCTTGCCTACAGCTCCGTCACCAACGGTGACACACTTGATGAATCTCGGGGCAGTTGTTGCAGCCATTGGAACCAAACAAACACAAGAAAAGGAAGAAGAAGAGGCTCTGAGGATAATTGAAACAAAACAAGACAGAAGTGGGTGTTTTGTTGGATTGTTAAGATTGAAGCTTTTGATTGATTGACCCAGTGACTGATATATAGAGAGAGAGAGAGAGAGTGGCGGCACTTCACATGATTCTCACTCATTCCCTCTTTTTTTTGTACCTGCCAATTACTTTTCTTTTTAATCTTAGTCTTTGCAAATACAATTTTTTTTATCTTTTCCTCTTTTTTTGGTCAATCCTGGCTACAATTTATTTCCCCTAAATCTTCTTAGATTGAATAAAAACCTAAAATCCAACAGATGTACATTATAATTTTTTAATTTTTATAATAATTATGGTAAGAATTATATTAAAGACGACTTATCATTGCCGACGCAAAATTTCGAGAAAAAAAATATACATCAACAATGTAAAATTCTTTTATATTACCATTCAATCACATATTATTATATATAGTAAATTTGTTAATTTTAATAATAATTATTTGAAAATTATATTAGGACAATTTTTAATTAATTGATTGTATAAAATTTATTTATATTCGTGATACATTTCATTAAACTCAAATTTTTTTATATATTAGTAATGTATTTATATCAAACTCTTATTTTGCATGATTTCATACCAATAAAAGTGGTGCTAGGTGTTCAATTGGACATGTAAATAATTTTACAGTCAAATCCACTTTAATTAAAATAAATTTAAATATA